TCAGACACAACTTTGTGAGTAAATATTTTGAGAATCAGGAAGGCCATTTGAATTTATAGCAGACAGAAGAAAAAGCCATTTAAAAACTTTATAAATGCTGCATTGGTCTTATCTGTTCACATTCTGTGAATCACCCACCATATTTTGTCTTTCTTTTGACTTTTTTTTTTGAGACAGGGTCTCTTTCTGTAGTCCAGACTGGCCTCAAACTTATTATGTACCCCAGGCTGACTGCAAACTCGCAGCAGTCCTCCTGCCTTAGCCTCCCTAGTGCTGGCTACCATGCCTGGATTTCTGTCTGAGTCTTAGAGGGGTCATAAAACTTCAATTTCTTCCTCCCTCACAAACAAACCCCGGTAGTTGACGGATGTCTGGGGCTTTGGCATACAGAGGGCTTTGGACCATACCCACAAATCCGATTTCTAACCAATATGATCATATCTACAAATAAGAGCTGCATTCCAGCTCTGCTGTAGGTATGTGGGAGCATGGCAGGCAGTAGTTGGAGGAATCTGGAGGTTGTGCTTTTGTGGAGGCTGAGAGACTCATGGAGATGGTTGTCTGGCTTTTGATTTTGCTACCTTCACTGAGCTACATCTCAGGCCTCCTCAGTACCCTTTTAAAATTTTTGATACAGGCTAAGTTGCCCATATTGGACTGGAATATATGCTTCTTCTGGCTCAGTCCCCCAGGATATTAGGATTGTACCTCAGAAAGCAGAAATATGACATTTTTAAATTCCACTGCTGTGCTGAAGTGGCATGATTTTGCAGCGCCTGGCTTTTCTCCTTTAACCTGATGTTCTCCAGTTGCATCTGTCTTGTCACATACTTTTCCTCAGTGAGGGTGGCTACTCTTACAGTTTTCCTTAAGATCCATTTCAGGCCAGGCATATAGCTCAGTGGCAGGGTGCCTGCCTGGCCTGTGCTAAGTCCTGAGTTCAATTCCCGGTACCAAAAATAAAGATCTATGTCAAGCTATAATAATGGGAGCTATTAGTCGCTCATTATTTACTATAAACCTGTGCCTGCCTTATGGATCAGTTGACATCATTCCCACAACTGCGCTAAGAAAGGACCACTAACTTTACCTGCATTCTGTAAGGAGGAGACTGGAAGGACCCAGTCACCAGGGAAGCTTAGGGTTTCACACAATCTGGATTCGCGCCCACACTGTCTGTGCAGAGAAGCCAAGGTCCTGGCCTCAGCACTGCTGCTCGCATACTGTGCTTGGTGGTGCTTTCCCACCTTCATCTGTGAGATGTCAATACTAATGAATAATCATTTATTTAGTGACTGCTCTGCACATAGCTGTATTATCAACTCTGCAGGAGTGAAACCATGCAAAGTTGATTAATGTGGTTCCAGCCCTCAGTGGCTTGTAATCTAGGAATTGTTAAGTGTTCTTTCTTCTGTGTTCCTAAACTTACTGTACAGGACCTGCCATTTTGACATGACTATGTATGCATAGTTTGTGTGCCTGCATGTGTGCGTGTGTGTGTGTGTGTGTGTGTGTGTGTTTGTTTGTGTGTGTCTGTGTATGGCATTTGGGGTTGAAGTCAGGGCCTTTGCACTGAGCTACATCTCCAGCCTTTTTAATTTTGATTTTGAGGCACGTTCTTGCTAAATTGCCCAGGCCGGGCTCTACCTCTTGGTCCTCCTGCTTCAGTCTCTCAGGCGCTGGGATTCCTGGGGTGCGCCGCCACTCCCCGCTTTCTCGCACACTTGTGTCCTCCAGTGAGTTTTACTTGTGTTTGCCTGGAGGCCTTTCCCGTCTGACTATAAACCTGGAGGTGTGTTTATTGGAGTCAACTGCAAACTGCTTTCGCATCCACTTGTCCATCTTCTCCATGGACTCTCCCAGCTCAGGCTCTTTTCTGCTCCTGCCATAAAATATTATTGTCCACTCCCTGGGACCTGAGCCTCTTTCCTCTTCAACACCTAGAAATCAGAGCTCATTTTTATTGTGTCCTTTTCTTCGTCCAGACATTCCATAGGAATACTTTCACTTAGTCCTCCCAGGGAAGGGAAGCCCACTTTATGTCCCATGCATAGAGGAAAATAACCGAGGCACTGAGTGGCCCCTGGCCATGGTGTCTTGATTATTCCTGCAGAAGCAGGCCTCATGGCCACGCTGTTAGACCTCAAAATCTTCACATTCAGCCCCCTTCCTAGTGTGTCTGCTGCTCCAGTCACTGCATTTTCAAGTCATTCTGTAAACATTTGTTTAATAACTCCAAAAGAGGGCTGAGGATTGTAGCTCAGTACAAAGGCTCTGGTTTCAATTCCTGTACATGTTCTCAGTTGGAGCTTAGAGGAAGGAGTCACTCTCTCCTCAGTAGCTTTTCACTGCCTTAGTCCAACTCTTTTCAAGAATTTTGGAAATTCAACTCAGTACCTTTGGAGTTTATTCTTGTGCTTTTCAGTGTAAGGAAATATTCTCATACTATGCCTCAGTCCAGGTAATATGTCCCCTTCCCCTATCGGCCAGTGACTTAACCCACCATTGTGTCATTCAAGTCTTACAGTTTGCTGGTGTTACTTACCTGTAAGATTTTCATGAGTCTCAGACTCCTAACTATTGTGTGTGGGTTCTACTTCATCGCACAGGTTGTCAAGGAAATCGTTTCAAGGAAAACAGGAAGTTCTTGAGTGTGTGTGTATTTCCCCTTCATTCGGGTGGAATCTCTTTTAGTGCCACTCTTCATGGGACAAAGATCAGAGAGAGAAACTGAACAGGACCGTCCTGTGGGATAGAGTCAGGGCTACAACCAAGGATGTGTCTCAGGGTACCCTGGTCCGGGAGGACTGAGCAAGTCACGACAGGAGCGAGGCGCACACTGCCGAGAAGGGTTCTGCATTCAGGACACCTCCGCAGAGAGTGATTCTGAAGTTATTTAAGCTCAGCCTCAAGGTTCCTCACAAGAAATGGAGGATAATAATTCCTACCACATAGCTTCATGCTGAGAAATGGATGAGCACGTGCAAACTTTATAATTTTAGACAGTTCAGTTTTCATTACGTAGCAGTTATCCATTGTACTCTTTCAGCTTCTGACAGCAGGGTTAAGATTCCCTTGGCAACAGCTACTCCGTAGTGTCAGTGTCAGCTGTAGGCGCTGACTGTGATATTGGGTCCCTTTTTCTGACAGAAGGAACTCAGAAAAGCTGTACGTGGTTGGTGCTTAGATGCCACTCTTGCAGCCCGGGGCCGGGAGGTGAGCTGCTTCACTGCCGCATCTGGTGGAACAGTAATTCCTCCACTGCCACTGGAGGAAGCAGACAAAGTTGCATATAATAGTCAGCATTGCAACCTATTTTGCAAAGGATCGTATCAGAGTTTAACTCTTGACATCCTCCCTCCTTCTCTCTTCCCCTGGTCCCTGTCCAGCTTTCCCCCCAGGGCTATTCCCTGGGCTGGGTGAGGCTTTTGTTTTAACTGCCCAAGGAATGTTGTCTGAGGGGACAAGGAGTGGAGAGGCTTGTCCATAAAAGCGCAGAGGAGGGCTGGCTGAGAGGTGTGCAGTCCTGCCTGCTCACCTGCTTGCTGGCAGCCTGCTGCTGTCCCAGTTGGCACCATGCTCCCCAAGGCTCTGGTCCTCTGTGCCCTGTGTGTCTTGGCTGAGGCTTTGCCCTTACCAGGCCTAGGTAAGAAGTCTGTGATGTGATGTTGTGTGTGTAGAGGGGAAGAGTGATAAAGTTCAACTGGGTAAAGGCAGATGGCAGACGAGCTATGGCGCCTGGGGCAGTTGAATGAATAAAACATGATTTAGTTTGTTGGTTTGAATTGATCTCACAGCTGGGTCAGATGGGATTAGGGCACGTGACCAGAGAACACGAGTTTTCCCATGCATCCATCGCAGACTGAGGCCTATTTAATGCTATTTAAGATAAAAAGCCTGGGGGAGAGGTGTGCCTCATTTTACAATGGAGTATAACTGATTTCAGAGAGCTATAGCAGCCAGTCTGCTCACAGACAATGGAGATCGTTCAGTCTAGGATGAGAACTTGCAAATCACTGTGAGAAGTGAAAGAAATATGTCCTCACTAACCACAGATGAAAGGAGTTGTTCCACCCAAAGTTTGCTTTCTAGTTTCTTCTTGAGTTCAGATCCATTTCTCAGGAGCAGAGATGTTCATTACCTTGGATTAAGAGGGCCTCTTCTTCTGGCCCTCCTTCTCAGGAAGCTGTCAATTTCTGGGATGTTTGACTGGCTTTCTTGCTGCTTTGAATGTGTGATAAAGCAAAGTGAGGCTGGCATGACGGCTCCTATCTAGTAGCTCTCCAATGCCAGCCTAGGCTACAGTGAGACTCTGTCTCAACAAAACAATAATGAAAAAAGCAAAGAGCCGGCTATAGAGACGTAATGACTTTGTCTTCTTTCGCAGGGTGTCCCCACCTGCCACACTGACTCTGTACTTATTTTGAATACAGCCCAAGGGGGCCCTGTCTGTTGCTCAGCAGATTTTGACGGTTCTGATGCTTACGTGGTTAACCGCCCCAGGATGGCAAGATTGGGTGTTCTATGGGACACGCTGAGAATGGATTCTTAGCTATAGTTCGTTCAATGAGAAAATAATGGGAATAGCCATTTTTGGAGTTGATTCCATTCTTGCTTCTATTTAGAAATAGTCATTTTCTTTGATAGATAATCCCTTACTTTTGCACTTAGCTTTCAGGAACCTGCAAAGGTTATGGAGAGTCAGTCTTGGAAAGTTCCTACTGCACCATTCTGAACATACACAGTCAGAGGAACAATGTTGACTGCTTTTTGCTACATGGAGCTCCTCAAAGGGGGAGTGCTGAGTGCTCTGCTGGGAAGCAGTGGCTGCCTGACTTTCTATGGCTGGGGAAGAGACTTTTGTGACCACAGTGGATCCAGGGATGACTTCATGTTCTATTTTTTCCCCAGAGGAAGGGTGCAGCTAGGAACAGGCAGGGTGTGGACGAACACTTCACCTGGGCTGTCTTGAGCTCTTCTTTTCTTCTTGGCTCCTCTAGGATTGGTCACTTCCCTACCTGAATTGGCCAACATTATAAATGAGCTCCATGCTGGTACAGACACAACCAGGGATAAAGATTCAACAGCTGGTGTAGCCCAGACCTATGGGTCAGAGTCAACCGGGAGCATATTCCAGGGGGACACACAGACTCTCAGTAAGTGAGGGCCTTGCCTCAGGGAGGCCTGGGCAGGCCTTGCTGTCTCCCTTCTCCTGCATGCCTCAGTGAAATCCTGCTCCCCTCCAGTGTACTGGATTCCCACAGTGAATAGCCACAACTGTGTTTCACAGTTTTTCCAGAAATCTCTGCTGCCTTGGACTCACACATGTCCCCTTCTGTCTTAGTTCCTTTTCTCTTGCTGAGATAAAAACCCAACACCCAAAGTTAGAGGAGGAAATGTTTATTTCAGCTCAAAGTCTGTAGAGCTTTCAGTCAGCCAGTCCCAAAGCAGGGCAGAGGGGCATCACAGAGGAGAAAGAGCTCATTACAGAGCAGAAGGGGAAGAAGGCAGCAAGAAGCAGTAACAAGCCTGCTTTCCCTCTCTTCCTTTTGCATTCCACTCTGGCTAGAAGTCTCCTGATTGGTGTGACTCATACCAGGGTGGGGCTACTATCATCCACAACCTTAATACCAGATTCACATCTTAATATACATCCACACCCCCTAACACAGCCACCCTCTAAAGTCCCCACCTATGACTGCATGGGGCTTGTGTGCAGGGTGTGTCTAGATGCAGTCCATAATGATAAACGAGCTTATTGTTGATGTAGATCCA